TTCCTCTTTAAAGTGTCTCTAATATTCCTCTTTGTTCAGAAACTCTGGCCATTCAAACAATCAGACTTCAGTCTGATTGTTTGTTGTTCCTACTTCATCATCATAAGGGAAATTACATTACAGAATGAAAGTCAGAAACAGGAAAGGCTTACAGATTTATCCTTACATGGATGGAGCATAGAAACATCCCCCCACCCCCGGCCTCCTCCCGTCTCTCCTCCGCCCCTGAAGAACCTCCGCCCAGACAGCTGAGAGCAGAGGAGCCGGAGCTGCAGCGGAGGATTCAGACTGAACATGATCTGTGAGGGCCACACCTGATCCTAGACCTGGTCCTACATCTGATCCTTCACCTGATCCTAGACCTGGTCCTACATCTGATCCTTCACCTGATCCTAGACGTGGTCCTACATCTGATCTTCACCTGATCCTAGCCCTGGTCCTACATTGATCCTTCACCTGATCCTAGACGTGGTCCTCCAAGAACATGAATGAGATCAAGATCTGTGTCTGGGTAGCGAGGGGGTCGGAAAGTCAGGTAAAAAAAATCTGGAAAAAAAACTGGGACTAGACGGAGGAGAGAAAGTGAGCGTCACCATGGTTACCGGTCTGTTTACTTGTCTGTGTGTTTACCTGTCTGCAGCTCTGGTCGTGCGTTTCCTCACCCGGAGATTTATTGGAGAATATTCTTCTTCTTCAGGTGAGAGTCTGTTGTCGCTCTTTAATCAAACTATAAACTGTCTTAATTACACCTGTGAAACAGCGCCACCTGCTGGACGCTGTCGGTGAAATATGCAGTATGAGGTTTACTGAGAGTAATCGACTACATTTAGTCAGTAAAAAGATCATCAGATCACTGTCACATGTTAAACTCAACGTTTGATTTAAAATGTGCACTCAGAAGCGTCAACATCAGTGTGTGACGTTCAGGGCTGCAGGTCATGACGACATCGTTTATACATCATTAGAAACATCCGTCACACAGAAGCTGCAGCTCTCTGTTTCATGTCTGATGTGATCGACAGGATGAGAAAGAGCTGCAGAGCTTCAGAGCTGAACATATCAAATATAAATATGATGCAAAATCATCACACTCACTTTAAATTTATCAAATCACCTTCATCTGTCCTGTAAAAATAAATCTCTGTGTGTTTGTGAGTCCTGTGACATGCAGCTCTGAGCAAGATGTTTGACTATTAAAACCTGTTTTTTTTTTTTAAATCTATCTTTGTAACCTACGGTGGCCCTGAAGGTCAACTGCAAAAACATTTCATGAAACACAAAAACGTAGTACCCAAAGCGCCACAAGCTGGTGCCTGTGTTTTGAGCTTGTGAGAGTCTAAGTGTGACCGTTCTCTTGTGTGTGTGTGTAAGATGGTGAGAGGACTCCTCGGTGACCAGTTGCTGCAGGTTACTGTTCATGATCAGAGCAGATAGCGCACTGGACACACGCCGCTGTGTGGTCGATATTAAGTATTGTAGGATAAAAGTGTAACTCTGTTGTCTGTCACCGATCTGATGCTAACCAGCTAATCTGAAACTTCTGCTAATTGCTTCGTGCCGCTAGCTTCTCCCTGTAGCCGCCACGTTCGAGAAAAGTCACCGTATCTCTGGACCTGAATTTTAGGATTCAGCAGATTTAATGATTATCATATGATCATGATCTCTCTCTCTCCCTCGCCTCCTCTCCCTCTCGTCCTCCACCTCTCTCTTTCTCTCTATTGTCTCTTTGTTTATTTTGTGTTTTATTGTCGATATTTAAAGTCGTACTTTTGTCTCTCAGAGTGTATCTACAGGAAGCGTGTGAGTGTGGACGGGAGGCAGGTGAACCTGGAGCTCTACGACCCCTGCTCTCAGGTGAGGTCATGGCTCCTTTAATCCTGCAGCAGGATGACCTCTCTCTCTCTCTCTGTGACCTGTGTTGTTGTTTTATGACTCTGCTCATTAGATATCATTCAGAACATTTGACCTGATGGCGTCATTACAGAGTCCGTCTCCATGTTTCAGCCCTGTGACGGTAGACCCTCGCTCAACGATCAGATCCTCTGGGCTGACGGCTTCGTCGTGGTCTATGACATCAGCGATCACTCGTCCTTCATCACGGCTAAAGCCCTCGTTCACCTGATCAGACAGGTTCACCTGGGGACCACTAAGAGGTACGCACTGAGGGATCAGTCTAGACCTGCTCTGTTTGGGTTCTCAGATAACATGAGACAGAATCTGACTTCAGACCGAAGTCAGACCAGATTTAGACCCAATAAGACCTGATCCAGATCATATCTAGACCGTATTCAGGCCGGATCCAGACTGGATTAAGACTGGATCCAGACCAGATTCAGACTGGAGTCAGACCGGATTCAGGCCGGATCCAGACTTGATTCAGACCAGATCCAGACCGGATTTAGACTGGATTCAGACAGGATTCAGACCGGATTCAGACAGGATTCAGACCAGATCCAGACTGGATTCAGACTGGATTCAGCCTGGATCCAGACTGGATTTAGACTGGATTCAGACAGGATTCAGATAGGATTCAGACCAGATCCAGACTGGATTCAGACCGGATTCAGCCTGGATCCAGACCGGATTCAGACTGGATCCAGGCTTAGGGTTATCCCTGTCTCTGTAAATAGTATATTTAAGGTATCAGGTCTAACATTTGGCCCTGCTCTGTGACTGACAGGGACGTGGACTCTCTGATCTTCCTGGTGGGTAATAAACAGGATCTGTGTCACCTGAGGGAGGTCGGCCGTGAGGAGGCTCAGCGTCTCGCTGCAGAGTCTCACTGTCACTTCTACGAGCTGTCAGCTGCCGAACACTACCAGGAGGTGGCGCTCATTTTCACTAAGATGATGCAGAACGCCTGCCTGGACAGCAAGGCCAAAGAGCGGCGAAGACGCCCGAGCGGGTCCAAGTCCAAGTCCATGGTCAAACTGATCAACAACGTGTTCGGGAAGAGGAGGAAGTCCGTGTGAAAGACGGGCGTCAGACTGGACTCCACTTTGATGTTTCTGTGATGACTTGAAATAAAGTTATAAATCCTTCTGGTGTAAATCTTATCATAGTATCATCATAAACATAGTGAGAACCTGAGGAGTTGTTTGGTTCTTCTTCAGTGGATCTGCAAAATACAAGAGCAGAAAAATCTCTGATTTTCTTTCTGGTGTAAAAATCACCGACCTGAAACTCCTCGGTGAGTTTGAAGGTTTGTGTTTTTTATTTCTGCTCATGGCATCCATGCAGGCATGAAGCTTCACAGACCCTGGATTTATGAGGGGGCTTATGGGGGTCTGTGAGGGGTTCTAGAGGGGGGGTCTATTGGGGGTCTGTGAGGTCCACACGTGCAGCAGAGCGGCTAACATGTCTCTGATGAAGACTCAAACATGAGGGTCCGGCTGCAGACTGTTCAGAGGAGGGTTCAGCCTCCTGACTGGCATCTTCTCCTTGTGAGTGACGGCTCAGTGAAAACAGCTGCAGGTCACATCAGCTCATCGTTCTCCTCTGAGACGTTTAAAAGAGAGAGAGAGAGAGAGAGAGAGAGAGAGAGAAAGAGAACAAGAGAGAGAGAAAGACAGAGAGAGAGAGAAAGAGAACAAGAGAGAGAGAAAGACAGAGAGAGAGAAAGACAGAGAGAGAGAGAGAGAGAGCTTGAACACCAGTGAAAACAGGAGGGTCTCGTATGACCGCAGGCTGAGGTTTACTTTTTTTTTTTTGGGGGGGGGGAACTATGAGTATCTACTGTGATAAATGAAAGATTAAACTATTGATGATTGTGAGATAAAAAATATTTATGAGGCAGGAAGTAGGAGTGAAGAGAAAAAGAAGTCATGTAAAAACAGGCTTTTTAGAATGGGTGTGTGTGACTTCCTGGCATGCTTCCTGGGCTTCGGCAGCCAGCCTCTAGTGGTCACTCGAGGAACTGCAGGATTTTTCAACACAGAGGTTGCTGGTCGATTAAAAGACGACATTTGTTAACCTGTTAGCTACAGCTAAAGTAAACATCATTTACACTTGAGAATCATGGATACGATATGAAGATTTGAATGAATTATGGATATTAATGCTCACACAGCGTCTGTATTTAACCACCAGGGATGAAAAGACACTGATCCATCACTCACCTCAGCAAGAGGTGAGTGATGGATCAGTGCAGAGCAGAGAGGAGAGCTGCAGGAGTCATGGCGGGATGTAACCAGGGCATAAACAAAGATGGCGGTACTGTTGGGTGTGAGGGATGGGCGGATTAAGCAAACCGAGTGACATCACTGTTGTGTCCTTGGAGTGATATCGTGCTGTTGAGGATGACACCCAGACTCTTTACCTTGGGGGGGAGGAGGGTGTGATTTATATCTGTCATGGAGCCGACTGAAGATGGAAGTTTGACCGTTGTGTCTCTGAGGGACTTTTTCTCCCCGTCCATTAAACTCAAACTCTCAGAGAAGCTGAAGAGACAGGATGAAATGTGAGATGATTCATCCCGAGAGTAAACACAAACCTCCCACATCGTCCTCCTCACCTGGTTACATAACAACGCCATGATGTAACGTTTGGATCACAGACAGGTGGCGGAGCTTCAGTCCATCTTACATTAAATATCAGAACCAGAGAGTTTAACCAGACGGACAGAAGAAGGTTCAAACATTTCAGAGAGCTGAGGACCTAAAAGAAGACAGAGGTCAGATCACCTGACGAGTGCTCCAGAGACCGTCGATAAACTCATAACGGGATGTTTTTCTGAGAATACTCAGAAAAAATAGTCAAATATTTCCTCCTCAAAGAATTGAGATATATATAGATAAGATGTTTCACCTCTGAGAGGTTTTAAAGTAAAAAGTTCAATGACCTCCTGTTGTTCTCAGCAGCTCTCTTACTGATGAAACTGAGTTTGTCTCCCTCTGCTGGTCATGAAGCAGAAGTGCAGATTAAAAGGCTGAGCTGATGGTCGTCGTGTGAAATCTGAAGTAGAGTCATCGCTCTCCGTCTGCAGAGATGAAAATTTCAAGTCTTCCTCCGAGTCTCGTTCAGCGTCAGGATCAGTGAGCGGAAAGTCTCTGGAAAAAAAACGACCTACAGAAAGCCGAAGAAATCGAACGGGCAGTGTGACGATGTTTGATTTTTATTTGAGATCTTCAAGAGAATTATTTTTTTTACTAAAATAGATTTCAGTCAAAAGTTTTTCCTCCTGTTTGTGTTCATGTGAAAGTTTAAAATAAAACAAAGTAATTTAAATCTGAGTTTAATAATAAAGAGTTAAACACACAGAGATGAGTTTCAGAGTTTTATTTTTATTCTCTCTTCTTCACATTTATTTCTCAGTTTCAGAAATAAAAACATGAAAAACAAAAATAAAAATGTTTACCCTTTAAAGACCGCACCGTGAATAAAAGATATATATGATGAAGTATATAAAAAGTTATAATAAAAGATTTAATAAAAGGATTCATAAACTCTCCCAGGATTTCTCTCCTCTTTAGAATAATATAAAATCTGTGGATTTAAAGAGACAGCGGTGCGCTAACCTCCGCGGTTTGTTGTTGTTTATTAATATTTAGAAACATGTTGAGAGTCAGACGACGTAAAGAGTCACTAACAAATGATCCAGCAGGAAGTGTTCTTTCAAAATAAAAGAATCAGAGAGGATAAGTAGGGTTAGAGATCATTTCATCATTTCATCGTTGATTCAAATCTGTTTTTTCTCGTTCTGAAGTTTCAGACGGTGAGTCAATTATCTGATTTTCAAAAAGACGTTTTAATTATTACAAAAAAAATGATTTCCTGTTCTTTTAATTTGTGACTCTTTTTCTCGTTTCTGCGTCATGTTTGCTGACGATGTTTGAGTCTGTGGACAAAAAGGAATTATTTAACACACTCGAAGAACGCCGCCGCCCACGCTCGCTGATCGTCTCGAAGCGCTTCATGAGGCACGTACAGAGTGCAGCTGATGCGTTCACTGACACGTGTATAAAGTATTAATCAGTAGTTAGTGCGTGTTAGTTACTGAAGGTTAAACGTAGTATTTGACGCTGCGGAGCGGCAGCTTCAGTCGTCTCTGATCAACTTTCAGATTTTTGGTTTTTGAAGCAGCAGATAAATAAAGTTTATAAAAGTTGATATTGCACATTAAGAGCAGAAGCTGCTGTGAGTAATAATCATAGACATGATACAGACAGACGTAAAGCAGCAGGTTGTGTCTGTCTTGTGTTTCCTGTTTAAAGATCAGTCTGTGACAGAGACCGTCCACCGTCAGTCATCGCCACCGTCACCGTCTGCAGAAGAAGGCGAGTTGGTGGCTCAGAGGATGACACAGCTGGACGACGACGTCTCTTCGCTGCTGACAAAACAAAAAGAAAACATTTGAAAGATGGTCACGTTCTTGTGATGTTTTACATTCACATGTTGTGATCGCCGTCCTGTTTCCTGTTTGACCCCACACTGATGAAATGAAAGTCCTGGATGCCTTCATAACTTAGCGGGTAATTTGATGTTGTCAATGATTACAAACTCCTGCACAGAGTCACCGTTTGAAGAGGAGGGAGGAGCCAGAGAGGAGCGAGGTGGTTTTAGATAATTTACAAAGTGATTTAAGTGTGCAGGTCGATCAAACACCTCCGAGTAACTCACCTGTACTCTGCAGCGTCAGACGGCTTCATCCTCTTGGGGGCGCTGCTCTCCCACTCTGCTGCAGACCTGTGAGCATGCTCAGTGGTCTCAAAGCTCACCTGAAGAGAGAGAGAGAGAGGAAGAGAGAGAGAGGAAGAGAGGAAGAGAGAGAGAGGAAGAGAGAAAGAAAGCGAGAGAGAGAGGAAGAGAGAGAGGAAGAGAGAAAGAGAGAGAGAGAGGAAGAGAGAGAGAGGAAGAAAAGGAGAGAGAGAGAGAGAGAGAGAGGGAGAGAGAGAGAGAGGATCAACGCCTGCTCAGTATTTACTGTTACATGTTGTCTGCAATGTGTGTGTGTGTGTGTGTGTGTGTGTGTGTGTGTGTGTGTCTCACCATGCTCCTCTTCCTGTGTGTGTGTGTGTGTGTGTGTGTGTGTCTCACCATGTTCCTCTTCCTGTGTGTGTGTGTGTGTGTGTGTGTGTGTGTGTGTGTGTGTGTGTGTGTCTCACCATGCTCCTCTTCCTGTGTGTTTGTGTGTGTGTGTGTGTGTGTGTGTGTGTGTGTGTGTGTGTGTGTGTGTGTGTGTGTGTGTGTGTGTGTGTCTCACCATGTTCCTCTTCCTGTTGGTGTGTGTGTCGTCTCTCTCAGAGAGGAGGGGTCTCCTGTTGGGGTCGTCTCGGAGATAAACTTCTTTTTGAATCTGAAGCTTCCTGTTGGAGAAACACGCCCACAGTCAGCGTGAACGCCGTCATCACGTTATCCCGTGGTCGCTCTGAACACACTCAGTTTGAGTCTGACGTCGTATCACTGGAAACACGTCAGAGTTTCTTTGGTTTATAAAGTTAACGGTGCAGAACAAGCTGGAGACTCGTTTACTGGAACTGTGTCACATGTTTAAAATGACCTCTGATCATCAGAGGACAGCGAGACCATGAGATTCGTACAACGAGGTCAAAAATAATCGTCCTCATACAAACTAAAATTCTTTCTCTGACAAACCTTCGCTGAGTAAAACAGAAAATAATAACGTTAAAGTTTCCAACGTTATGTCGATATAATCTAATCAAAATAATGAAGTGTTATTGTTGTTGTCATTGGCGCCGTCAGCCCGATATCCGATACGTCAATGACATCATATCTGACCTGATACAGACCTTAGATCAGATCTGTCCCACCTCTAGTGTCTGTGTGTTTGTGTTTCCATCAGAATCAATAAATAAAATTCTGATGTGACGACAGAAAATCATACATTTTTGATAAAAACTCAGCAACATCAGTCTGCAGAGAGTTCAATCAATAATTCAGCTGTGTGTGTATGTGTGAGTGTGAGTGTGAGTGTGTGTGAGTGTGAGTCAGTGTGAGTGTGTGTGTATATATATAAGTGTGTGTATGTGAGTGTGCTGACCCCTGCTCCTCCTCACCAATAATTACTCCCCACAGAGTCTGCAGGCCCCCCCCCGATAAACATATTTAATTCTGTTGGCGTGTGAGGGTATGGTGTCGGTGTGTCGGACACACCGGGGTCGAGGCCCTCAGCAAGGTCTGACCTGGACCGTGGAGACGGGCTGAAGGCCTGAAGTCCAGAACCATGTTTCAGTTCCTTTGAACATTTTCTGCTGCTCTTCGTCAACTCGATGTTAAAAAAACAATTTTTTTCTCTTATGAAAAAAACTACAACATCTTTTTCTTTTAATTTGATGGAGAAGAAATGAAGTAACACTGACATTTCTTTTTCTTTTTTTTTTTTACTGTTTTAAGATTTTATTTATTAATCTTTGATGTCTTTAAAGTGCCTTTAAACAGCTAATGGTGAAAAACAATCACAGAAAAATACAGATTATCATTGTCTTTAATGATGAGAAAAAAGAACAGCCTGTGACAGTCAGGGACTATTTCCTGCAGCGGATTGTTCTAAATGTTGTGCTCTGGTTGATATTTACTGCAGCAGAAATTAAAGAAGAATTTAAGGTTAAAGATGTGCAGACGTATGAAGGTATGAGGGTATGAGTGTGTGTGCGTGTGTGTGTGCGTGTGTGTGTGCGTGCCGTCACCTGACTGCAGAGGTGAGGCTCAGGTACCAGTCGTTCAGCTCCTCCTGGTTGTTGGACATCAGCAGCAGTTTGGCTTTGGGGAAGGTCAGCTGGAGGACGAGAGGAGAGGAGAGGCTCAGGACGAGGAGACAGAACAACACGTGTGCACCTGGCGTGTTCTTCCCTTAAACTCATCACAGTTTAAATCTAAATCATAAAATCTGAAGGACGACGTCTTACAACAAAGAGTTCATTCTCTAGAAACACTCACGATGTAATGAGTCATTTTCCACGTGACGTCTGCAACAACAGAAAAGAAGATTGAAAAGCGTTCAGATTTCCTGCAGCTCCTCTTTGTCCTGTCGGCCTGAGCCTGCAGTAACACTGTACCACCAGCAGAGGGCAGGCTGCATCAAGAAAAGACCAGTCGGCTTGCCGTGCATTAAAAACACTTCTCCTGTCAGACGGTCATCAGACTGCGAACACACCCAGAACTCAGAACTAAGTCCAGTTAACAGAAACGAGCCGTCAGAGCTGCTCGCAGGTGTGAAGAGCGCTGCATCCTCTACCTGTGAATCTGTTTAAAGAGTCAGACACACGGCATGCACGTCAGACACAGGGCAGGAAGAAGTCAACAAACAGGGTTTTAAGAGAGGAACAGACTGAGGCCTCCTCTCACCTGCAGCTGCACACAAACACACATTGATCACCTGCAGTCAGACTGAGGAAGTTCAAATATTCTACACTTTCATAGTTTCAATATCAGGTGTTTTAAGAAGTACTCGAGTTTAAAAAAAGGACATCTGCTTCATCAAACGGGTGTGAGGGAGAGAAAGGAATCCATCAAACATCGCACACATCAACGTTTTAGTGCAACACAGACAGCGTGTGCAGGAGTCTGTCATTTTGAATAATTAAAAGAATAAATGAGCTCATACTGGGAGGCTCAGACTTCTTTGTGTTGCCGTGGTATCAAACAGGATCGACGTCGTCTGATTTTTTTTTTTTTACTAGAATCAAATCAAAGCTTTAAACTCTGCTAACGTGACGACTGTGATTCAGACGCAGAAGGACATGAAGCTCATCATGATGTTTGTATTTCAACAGCTCTCCTTCCACATGACATAGATGAAGATTTCACAGGTAGCCTCATCACAAGGATTATCTCATTATGACAGAGTTCAGGGTGGGCGCACGCTGCGGGGACAGCGGCTCATTTATGCACAAATACATTCCTCTTGTGTTGCAGCGCGGTAATTAGGGATTTGTCAGGAAATCTGACCCTCTTAGGTAGAAATTACTTTGTATAATAAGAGCGGCGGAGCACGGCGCCTCATCGGCGCACATAATTTAGCTCGATTATTTATACATCAAAGGGAATGTGTCAGGGAAGTGTTGGAGCAGCGAGGGATGTTAGACTGCAGAGCGAAAAGGAAGAGGAAAAGGCGCTCTCCAAACACGGAGAAAAAGAGAAAACAAACAGCAGAAATTTTAATAAAAGACGTTTTGGCTCCAGACTTTGCATATAGATTGGCCTGGCATTTACAGCTGTCAAATTAAATTTGGCTTTAATTCTTCATTGGCGGGATGAGCCGGGCCCTGGAGTGCTGACAGCCCTTTTCCTGCGCTCAGGTAGGGGCCCGGGATCAATAATGTGTCCTTATGAGAAATTACGTGTAATGCTATTGAGTATGCATCGGGGCCTCGGCGGGATAAGAGGCTAATGAAATGCCATTTCTGCCATTAGATAACGCGCGGCGGGCTGCGGGGAGGGCGACAGGCGTGAGGAAGATGTATTTAGTGCGGGGCCGGAGGAGACGGATCTGCAGCCTAATCTGATCCAGCAGCTGAGAGAGATTCTGTTCCAGCAGGCGGCCATCAGCAGCGCTCCACACATAATGCAGCGGGGAGCAATCTGCACATCAGGAGACGTTTCATTAACGAGAAGGAGGAACGCTTTTCATTCACAGCACACGCCCGAGACACGTGAACTCACACAGGGACCAGGCTGAACACAGCGACCAGGCTGAACACAGCGACCAGGCTGAACACAGCGACCAGGCTGAACACACAGGGACCAGGCAGCACACAGCGACCAGGCTGAACACAGCGACCAGGCTGAACACAGCGACCAGGCTGAACACACAGGGACCAGGCAGCACACAGCGACTAGGCTGAACACACAGGGACCAGGCAGCACACAGCGACTAGGCTGAACACACAGGGACCAGGCAGCACACAGCGACCAGGCTGAACACAGCGACCAGGCTGAACACACAGGGACCAGGCAGCACACAGCGACCAGGCTGAACACACAGGGACCAGGCAGCACACAGCGACCAGGCTGAACACACAGGGACCAGGCAGCACACAGCGACCAGGCTGAACACAGCGACCAGGCTGAACACACAGGGACCAGCAGCACACAGCGACTAGGCTGAACACACAGCGACCAGGCTGAACACACAGCGACCAGGCTGAACACACAGCGACCAGGCTGAACACACAGCGACCAGGCTGAACACACAGCGACCAGGCTGAACACACAGCGACCAGGCTGAACACACAGCGACCAGGCTGAACACACAGGGACCAGGCAGCACACAGCGACCAGGCAGCACACAGCGACCAGGCTGAACACAGCGACCAGGCTGAACACACAGCGACCAGGCAGCACACAGCGACTAGGCTAAACACACAGCGACCAGGCTGAACACACAGCGACCAGGCTGAACACACAGCGACCAGGCTGAACACACAGCGACCAGGCAGCACACAGCGACCAGGCTGAACACACAGCGACCAGGCAGCACACAGCGACTAGGCTGAACACACAGCGACCAGGCTGAACACACAGCGACCAGGCAGCACACAGCGACCAGGCTGAACACACAGCGACCAGGCTGAACACACAGCGACCAGGCTGAACACACAGCGACCAGGCTGAACACACAGCGACCAGGCTGAACACACAGCGACCAGGCTGAACACACAGCGACCAGGCTGAACACACAGCGACCAGGCTGAACACACAGCGACCAGGCTGAACACAGCGACCAGGCTGAACACAGCGACCAGGCTGAACACAGCAACCAGGCTGAACACACAGCGACCAGGCTGAACACAGCGACCAGGCTGAACACAGCGACCTACCCGAACACATCTTGCTTGTTAAATGTTTAACTGTAAAAGCACTCAGTCTCTAACTCTGAGACTCAAAGATGACCAGTTCACCCTCTCGTCTGCTGTTTGTGCTGAGAAACTCACTCAATAAATACTCATCGATTCTTCGTCTCTCTCTCTGTCTCTCTCTCTCTTTTGGGAAATCAGTGAACGAAAAGCAACAAATCACACAGAGAGAAGACGAGCGATCGACGCTTTTACAAAAATCTAAAACCCTTTTAAATAAACGTTGAAGTGATTATTAAAGCTGCAGGAAGAGGAGGAGCTAGGACGAGGTCTTTTCTACCTGCAGACATTCAATTTCATATAATTTATTAACCCCTGAGGGAAAGTCTGGTTTACACTCTGTTACTGAGAGACATGCTCCTCACACAGATCTGAATCACACACACACACACACAAACAGGACCTGTGGATGGATTAGTGGAGAGATGTCAGAGTGAGGGGGCTGCTACACAGGGAGTGCACCGGAGCTGTTGGGGGTTCAGTGCCTTGCTCAAGAGCACATTGGTAGTACTCGGGAAGTGAAGTGGCACCTCTCCAGCTACCAGACCCACTTCCATATTATGGTCCACACTGGGACTTTAACTGGCGACCTGTTTCCAACCCTAAGTCCTGACAGACTGAGCTCCTGCCCCCCTAAAGAAAGTCACTCATCCCTCTGTTTCTATGACTCCTCTATCTTCCTTCATTCTTTTATTACACCTCATGTTTTTTATATTTTTATATACCTAATGCTCGTTTGTGCTACTCTCTCTGAACTGTCATGCTGGAGCGACCTGGAACAAGAATCTCCTTCAAGATGAATTACACTTTTATCTTAAATCATCTTCAGTACCGACCATAAATACAAACAGAAACAGACGTTTGAATATTGATGATTGAATACTGACACCACGCTGCATCAGCTCTAAACTCTGTGCAGAGACACTTTCCTTCCTCAGTGGATGACGCGTGACGTGCTGCTTTGAATGCTTGATGACAGCAGCTTCATCATTCAGACTCAGATTGTCAGCCAGCAGCTGTACCGAGGCCTGCACACCATCAGAGGACAGACGATCAGACGCTTTTGAAGTTTCACTTTCAGACTCAATCAGCGAGGCCGTGAAGTGATCGAAGAGAGGACCAGGAGGAGCGGGGGGAGGGGGGGGCAAAGTTCAGGGGTCAGGAGGAACATTGTCAACCAGCTTCAGGAAGAGCTTCAGGAAGCGTCTGTAAGTCGTGTTTTACGACGGAGAGCGAGCAGAACCAGGAGTTTAACAAATCAACAAACACCAGAAGAAGAAATGAAAGAAAGCTTCAGATAAATAGTCACTCATGTGTGGACTGGAGAACAGATGTCTCCTCCACCTGCTGTCCAACACACACACGCACGCACGCACACACACACTCCCTGACACACAGTTTTACTTCTGTCCAACTGTGAATAGTTTATCTGCAGGAAAGTGTTTTTTTTAAATTCACAATACTTACACACACACACACACACACAGAGAGACAGGGCTTGTTGAATTAGTAGGAATTCTAATTTGACGGTTAAGCTTCGTCGTGTATTTCGTTTTATTGGGCCTCTTAATCAAACGTGGCTGTCACGTCTCAGGTTTGTTTCTCTGAGCCGGGCTCTCCTTCACTTACACTGAGCAGGCCTCCCTGGCTCCTGGTGTGCCCGAACACCTTCTCCACGCTGCACTCGTGCAGAGGGTAGGCGTGCTGGCCGGCAAACTTGTCCCCGTTGGTGGGATGCAGCGGGCTGCAGCGTTTGGCCTGCAGCAGAATGTCGGAGAACAGGAAGAACATCTTTGGTTTAGCTTCTGCTCCCTTCTGAGGAACCATCTTCAGCCAGCCCTCACGGATGTACCAGCGCCCTGTCACAGGAAACACAAACATCATCATCATCATCATCATCATCAGCTGATGTTTGCCTGGTCTTTGATAGTTTAACTGAATCACACACAGACTGATGACCAGAGAAAGTCCAACCCACTTCAGTTATAATCCTGGCCTCCTGAGCTGCAGAGGACAGAAATAATGATCTTAAAGAAGCAGCAGAGAAAAGGGAAAGGAGGAGAGGAGGTGAAGACGGACTCTGTGGGAGGCAGACGTGTCACGGGGTGTGTCTGTTCCCACAGGAAGCCTCTCATCTCAGCGTCCATGATTGGCAGCAGCGTGATGATAGCTAATAAGCAGGAGGCTGACATTTGGATAGATAAGATGAGAATTCAGCCCGGGTGCATGGCGCTTTGTAATTGGCCCGGCCGCTCGTCTGTGATTGCAGCAGCCCGAGTGTCCGGAGCCGTGCCTCTGGGGCTCACCGCGGACGTTCTCAGCCATCGACCAGCCCGCTGAGATTAAGTGACGGGGCCAGGTGGGGGTCAAATTGCTTTTAAAATGCCATGGGTGTTAAAGGGAAAAACAGTGAAGAGACACCCCGAGCCTCTGTCAGGTGTGGGGAGGAGAT